TTTCCCCAGGCTTGTAGCAAACAATCTTTAGGATGTAGCCTCCTGGAGCGTCCTAAGCAGGGCCACATATCACACGCATCCATCATGATTCTCATGATTTAGGTATTGAATGAACCTGGAGTGACTTACCATATGGTCATGGTATTCCAATTCAGACAATTTTTGGTTGATGTCGTCCGTCGATTGCTCCATGCATTGAACTCAAATTGGATGACCTTAGTTTGAGCTAAGTGCCGCCTGCTATGGGACGCCACAGAGCAGACAAAGAGTTTACATCTTGATGGTGCGCGCGGATATTGCCAGTGAGATGCAGCTTGAGTCTGTGGCTTCGTGGGTGAAATATATGTTACCCATGTGTGAGAGGGCTCAGTTGAGCCAAGTGTCCAAGTATGTGGAGGAGGTCATGGAGTGTATGGGCCCTGGTCATTCACTGCATTTTCCAGCATGTTCCAAGGACCCCACAGCCAACAGCGCACCCTAGTTTTCCCAAATCACTCCAAAATACTCCAAGGTTCTTTTTGTGCCGGGGGGGAGGGTTGTTGACCATTGACATTTCGCCACTGTCTACGCTGTCTACAGTTTTGGCATAGTGGACCTGGGTCTCTTCAAATTTACATCTTCGAACTATCTAATTTTGTTTTGGAACTATTTCAAAAAAACTTCGAACTATTTAAAAAATGGTGATCGAACTACTCCGAACTATTTAAAATCCTTGCCCAGCAAAGTCCACAATCCAGAGACCTCTTGAATCTGTTAAGCCTGCTCCAGGACGGGAAGGCAGGTGGTCAGCGCAGAAAGGATTTTGTCCAGCAGTGCCACAAGGAGTTGGGAATGGCTCCATATGGCAACGTGGTGAGGTACAGTGAGAGGCACTTGGATCCTGAACATGTTGCCTTGTTCAATCAGCGAGAGCTGGAGTCACTTGACATCCAGCACGCCTATTTGACAGCTACTTGGCTTCCAACTCATAGGGATTTCAATTGTTGAGTTGAAGCCATAGACTGACCTGGTCCAGTCAATAGATAGTAGATTTAACTTAGCCAAAAACAGACCCAACCATTAATTATTACTACTAACTACTAACTAACTAAATAAATAAATATCAAACCAGGTCCATATCAACATATAATATATAACTTATATAACATGATCATTGAATATGGAACCGGTATGATGCTAAGTATGCGAGCTTTTTTTAAATAGTTCGGAACCGTTCGGAACTATTTAAAGCAACTGGGTTTTAAATAGTTCGGAACCGCTCGGAACCGTTCTGAACTATCACTACAAATTTTAAGCAATTAGTCTCAATTAGTTCGGATTAGTTCGGATTAGTTCGGAATGTTTAAATAGTTCGGAACCGTTCGGAACTACTTGAAAATATATGTGTTTAAATAGTTCGGAACCGTTCGGAACTATTTAAAAAACTGGCCTATTTTTGACAACAAAAAAACATATATTTTTTTTTTGTATGTTATAGTTATAATATAAGTTATAGTTACATGATTCATGATTATACAATATGGTTAGTACTAGGATGAGTTTAGTTTTTCTTTGTAAGTTAAAACTTATCTTAACTTTGTAATTATAACGTAACATAACAGTAACATAACTGCACTGTTACTGATACTGTATGATAAAACACATTCAAACAAACAAATTTCCAAAAGTCACATACGGTCAAAATCCAAATTTTATTGTGCTCATTGAGCGTTGATTATAACATATCTAGTGTCTAGGTGATAATGATAATGATGATAATGAGACTGGTCAAAACAACTTTAAGTCAGATGAAACTTAAACTTGTGATCAAAACTACGTATCAATCCGCTTGCAGCATATTTGGTCCCAGTGTCCCAGTGTGGTTTGTTTATTGCTAGTTCTAGTCAGAGTCATGGTCTTAGTCAGTTGCTTAACAAGTTCTTCTTTGAGTTCTTTGTTCATTCACATTGGGCTCAATCCTTAGAATTTATAGTTATTTATAATATATTTATAGTCTATAGTCTATAGTCTTATAAAGCTTATGGTCGTTATAAATTTATAAATCCACTAGTTATCATCTCAGTCAGAATTTCGTGCCACCCATCTACTTGAACTCAACTTATGTTCATGCCTCCACAGTGATATGATTTTGCGGCGCCATCAGGGATAATGGACGTACTTAGCTAGCAGATCAGAAAGTCATAATTGCCAGGACACCTGACATGACCAAACTTAGTTATAAACAATAATATCAATGTCAATAATATCGATATTTCTATCGGGTGTCAGACTATCCTAAACCCCAAGCTTGGGGACCTCAATTATATAAATCTACCTAGGACATGGATTGCGATGGAAATGTCCTTTGCCTGAGGGCTGTGGAAATCTTTGACCAGTTAGATTACTGTTGACTGCAATTTTTTTCATTGTTCAGAACATTCAGAAGCATTCACTTCATCAACTTCGCATTCTTCATTGTCTTGTTGTTGGCCACCAAGTACAACCGACCTTTCCGATTCGCGTTGGCCGTTCAGGTACAGTATGTCGTGTCACTCACTGTTTACTGTTTAGTAACAAATTCCGATGTTGTTTGCCAACCCACTCAAAGAAGCACAAGCGTTGTTTATTTCACACTTGAAGTTCTAGTTCTAATTGTTGGTGTAAAAAGGGGAACATCACATTTGTTCAGACTTTGGCCTTTGGATTTTGGTTTCCAATTAACATCTGAGGGAAACAACCTTTTTTGGACGGTGACAAGTTGTGACATGTGACAAGGGACAAGTTACCAACTTCTCTTTGCTCAGGTGAGAGGCATCTCACCAGCTGGGCAATGGTGCACGACTGATCTTGCACGTGCCTTGTGTGGTGTTTGGAAGTTGTTGTTAAGTGAAGTGGGGTTGGGCATGGGCTGGGCCAGCAGTCTGTAGCTTAAAAAGTTCTGCCAGGCAGAAAGACAAACAGTCTCCTTTGGTGGTATCATCACGAGTCACAATCCCTTTCCACGATCTCAAGGTTCAGTTGGCCGCAAGCATGTCGGGGTCAACGGATTCTTCAGCGCTATCACAACAAGTGTCAAGATCTGGAGCTTCAAGCACAAACGCTGGTTGGCTGCTGAGGACACATTGACCGTGTAACCAATTGAGAAATGGGGCAAGAGATTTTACTCTGAATTTCATCGAACGTTTAACTTGTGTTTTAAAAAATAACCATTGGAGTCAAAATGGAATTATCAACAGACTAAAACCACTGGGTAAGATTCATGAGACCAGTGAAGAGTTGAGTTGAGACATATTGACTCTTAGAGGCTTCTGAGATTTTGGTGCACTTATATCCGCCACCTGTCTTGAGGAGCTTTTGACATCACAAGGGTTCGATGTGATGAAATTGAACCTGGTGGGATTCGATTACAGCGCCCTGAACAAGTTGGCAGGCGAGAAGTTGCCAACAGAAAGCAGAAAAAATACTAGTTGTCAAAGTATGTAAGTAAGGTAGGCAATAGACGATAGACTATATTATATTATAGACTAGATAACAGCAGTGGAATAAATAATGATCCTGGCCTTGTCATACATGTAGCCAATTAGGTCATTAGGTCAGGCTGATTTATGTTTTGCTAAGGTGAGGATGATGATGTACAACAAGTTGCTTCTACATTTCTTTGGGGCATGTTAATGTTCATTCTTGTTTCGTTTGATGGGCTCATGAACTTGGACCAGCTTGCATTTCCCAATCTTTGCACGTGAGAGGAGACGCTTGGACAGTTCCTGTGGCTGGATCTCTTTTTCTCATGGCAGTCCTCGCTCTTCTGCCACTTGGAAAAGATGGTATGCCAATTTTAGGGCCAAGCCTTGATCAACCAAAAGTGCCTGTGCGAGACAGCGCCGGTGAGTGTGTGCCTCTTGGCCAGCGCATTGGCATGTGGTTCCCGAAGGAGGACAAGGATCAGTTGGATTTGGATGACAGTGAGCCTGATGACCCAGACCCGTGGCCCATGGATACACCCGCTCAACGAGTTCAAGCTGACATGGACCTCTTCAATGAGTTTCTTTCCTCTCTGAATGGTCGTCGTCGGGTGAGGCAGAAGACAACACATGTGCAAAGCGTGCCATGCCCAAAGTCGCGTCCTGCCTCCGGCTCATGGTCTATCATGTCGTCACCAACGCAAAGTGAACTTTCCGACGATACACAGCTTTGACCAGGACCGAGTTTTTGAATGGTGCAGCAGATCTGCTGCTGCTCAGGTTTGAAGATTCATAGCTTAGGCCAGAGTGGCTTCCCATCAGCATAGGCATAGGCCCTTTGCTGCGATCCATGGGGAAATGGATCGCTCTGTCTACAACATCAGTTGTGCAGGCAGGTGGTTCGTGCTGGTGAGGATAAAAATCACGGACAACAAATGTCTTGATTTCAATAGTTGGTCAGTAGTTGAGTTGAAATCATATGAATTTTGAAAAGGCAGGTGCCAAGCCAGGCCCAATTCAGTGTTGTGTTGTGTTGAAAGTTGTTGCGTAGTTCAGCGTGAGCAGCGTTGATTTGTGAGTCAAGTGATTGTGCTTGTGTGGCACGCTTGGTCGGAGGGTTGGTTTTGTTGTTGTTGTTGTTGGAAGTTTTGCACTGTGTGCACTACCACATGTCATCCAGAAGACTGTGGCTCACATTTCCCGGATCCTGATGACATTGAAAGTCACTGATGGACAACGAGAGCCAGGAAATGCCAGTGGAGCCACCGCCAGCTCCACCAGCTTTCGAAGCAAACGAAAGTGATGCCTTGCTTGGCGAATGGCCTGAAGGCTGTTGTGGTGGTTGCCTTCAGATCTGGGGGGCTCAAGACAAGGATCTGGGCTGCAGGTCGTGATACCGAGCTTGTCTCATCGAATTCCATGTTCATAGTCTGAGTATGAGTCTTAGTTCAACAAAGGCAACCAGGATCCATACAAACAATGTGATTTAGACAAGCAGTAGGATTTATACAACAGAATTGCAACACATCATGCATTGCACGTGACCACAAGATGTGCAACTCACAGGGAAATGCAAAAGAAGCCAAGAGTCTCAAGGTCAATGACTTGAAGGTGGTAGTTGTCCACCAACGCCAGTCCAATGGGTTCAGCTCCAAGTTTGCCATAGAGCATAAAGTCAATGGGGGCCTCCAATTCAACAAAACTGTCAATGTCGTCAATGGTTTCTGTTTTCTTGACTGACCTGGTCTTGACCAAACCTGATATGATTAATGATGAGGTTATCGATGATGGGCGGGTCTGAATTGTTTTAATCGACGGGACAATATTGTCTTACATCTCATCTCAGGTTGCCCTCAAAAAAGAACCTGAATTGCCAATTGCCCTGCAACAATGTCACACTGCAAACAAATGGATAGTGAGTTGAGAGCTGACCCTTGAGTTTGTATTGGGGCAATGCAGGCAATGGGGCAATACTACAAGGTAAAAGTGTCAGGGTGCCACAACATGCAGCTGAATGTGTAACTCGTCACCAAACCCACTGCCTGCCTATACATGGAACTTGCCAATCCCACCCTTCCAACCCTTCCTGTCCGTCTTAATTCTATTTCGCAAGACAAGACTTCTTTTGGTCTGGTGTCAAGAGGCAGACTCCAAAGCTGTCAAAACAGCTTGAGCTTCTGTGACGATCTTGCTATGCACATGTCGCTCAGTGTGAGCAGCAATGATTTCTCGAAGACGTGGCACGCTTTTCAACCCTGATGCCATTGTCAAGCCATACAAACAATGGGCATGGCACCATGTGGACGGACGGACCTTGCTGTGGAACAATGAGAACCGAGGGCAGTGCAGTGCTATTTTCAAACGGCAGTGGACGCATACAGACCGACCACTGACAGCAATTGATGCATCAGCCAGCCCTAGCTCTTTCGAAAAGAATGATGATCCCGACGCTGAAGCCTTTTGATTTGCCAACTGGCCTCTCAAAGCTTCGGCTGCTTCTGAACGAGCTTGGTCTGCTTGTTTACACTCCTGAGCAAGAGGCGCAACCTGCTTCTCTTCAGCAGCCACAGTGCTAGACATGGGAACAACAACTTCCTCTTCTTTCTCAACAGCATCAGCATTTTGCAACTCAGCATCCCAGGGATCATCATCCCCGTTGCAGTGAGAAGACTCAGAAGAGGAAGAGTTGTTATCACTGTCAGAACTGTCACTGTTGTTGCTGTCATTGTCAAAGCTTTTGGCCTTGGAGTGTTTTGAATCCACGTCAACGTCTTTGTTCTCACTTTTTTTAAGCGTGTGTTTCTTCACTCCAGGTTTTGGCTTGGCCTTAGGGCCTGGCTTCTTGTTGGTGTTCCTTTTCTTTTTCAACAACTTGTCCAATGAAAAAGGAAGTTTGACTTGCGCTGGCTTGGTCTTGTTTCTTTTGGCACTGGAGACTGTGAATGTGCACTTCAATGTTTCAGGGTTGCTTTTGAGCAAGTACTTTGAACCTTCTGGCACCAGAAAAGCATTGCGCTCCCAGACTTGAACTTCCACATTGACGTCAACGTCCGGACTGGTGTCTGACAGTCGCAACAAATGCAGGAACAATTCATGCGAAGACTCGAACTCTGGCATGCTATCACTGGAGGCTGCTAGGGTGACCTGGTCATGCTCTACTGCCACTTTCATGAATACGTGGCACTTTGGCTTCTTCACAGAAACCCCAAGAATGCGTGGGTAGGTAGCAGCAGTGGCGTCAAATTCTTGGGCGAGAGAAAACACCAGCATTGTCCCAGCACAAATGGCATGCTCCTCAAGTTTCCATGAAAATGCTTTCACCATTTGGTCCATCCGCGTAGAGTTTGGGTCATGTACGCAAACAAAGTGCGGGCATGGAGTGTCATGCACTTCAATGTCAAGAGAGTCTGCTTCTCCAGCAATCTGAGATTCCAGTGGTATTGCAACAAGGGGCGCATGCAAGCTTTGTTCCAACTTCTGCGCAATATCATCGTCTCCAGATTGAACATTGATGAGGGATGCCTTCAAGGCTCCACTGCCTAAGTTGGACTGTTTTCGGGTGATGGCTGGCTGTGGGATTTAGACATAGGGCTGAACCATCTGATAAAACATTCTGAGTAATCAGTCTGGACTGGACCATAATTGATATTGTCTATTTGTGGTCTTCGTCTTCTTAAAAAGAAAGGACAACCTTATCCTGGTTGTAATCCTGTCTATGAACCGTTGTGTGGGTGCCTGCTTGTCATATCCCCCAGAAATATCTATTGGACCTGAATTGGACCTGTGCCAGCCCTGTTCAGAAAATCATCCAAAATAAACCAAGGAACTCTCTCCCAAACAGGTTGGAAGTGTCCACATCGAGTGCTGCTCATAGTCGGCAATGTTCAACAGTAGCCGTCTAGCTGAAAAGTGCTTGCAACCATTCTTACCCACCTCAGCCTCAAGGCTGGTTAGTTCCTTCGGTTTTCCTGGTTCTGGCACTGAAAGTGGGGTGGCAGCCAATTCAGCCCGTAGTTGTTCCTGACGTGTCGCTTCAACTTCAAAAGCTTCTCTCTCAGGCTTTGCCATGTTCCTCCACTCCGCTGAACATTCTTTGAGCCTGGATTTGTATCCACCAGTGTCAAGACTTTCTCCACCCATCCGTTCTTTGCAAAAAACATTCCACCCGGAAAGTCGGCGAACCTTGCGGTGAGCTGCTTCATGTAGCCGTGCTTCTCGTGCTGTAGGTGTCTCCAGAGCACTTCGACTTCGTGAATGTTTCTTGTCACTGTCCTAAATGTCAGGCAGCCAAAGTAAGAACCGGATGACTGGATGTTAGATGTTTGGCAGGAAGTATGGAGGTCTGGCTTTAACTAGGTGCTCAGTAGACTGTATTTGTAGCTATGATTCGCTGTCTAAATGGAGTCTGAAAAGTATTGTTGACTGTCTGAGACAAGAATCGTTCTGTCAACTCCATACAACCACAAGGATATTGATGGTACTTAAACTTGACAGTACATTGACATTGCTATTGCCATTGCAATTAACATGTGAAGGAACTACAATACAGCACAAAGCAGCGCAGCGCAGCACAAAGTACTAATTTCTGAAGCCAGGCAGCGTTGTTGACAGCCCTGCATGTGTGCTGGTTTGAGCTTGTATTGCCTGACATGCGTTGCATCCCAGAAGAAACCGCCTTTGTAGGCATAGTGCCTGCTGCAACCGACTCAGAGAGCCACTTGTGCTGCTTGATGGCAGCTGATGGTAATGAGATCTCTACACCAGTATGACCGCTCTTCACATACATGGCTCCCCGGCGACTCAAACACCATTGCATCTGACCATGCAAAATTTCCACTGCATCACTTGTGATTGGAGACCACACAGCTATCCTTTGAAGAAGCTCCTGTACCTCTTCAATATCTGCTGGAAAAGAATCAATGTCCTCGGGGTATGCGTCAAGCAAGGCAGCGGTAAATTCAATGTCAACACAGAACCTGCACTTTGCCCTCTTCTGATGGATCCTTTTCCACTCGGAAACAAAGGTCTGAGCATCAGCATTGGCCAGTGCCAGAAGTGTGTAAGGAGGCTGCATGAACTCTTGTACGAAGCGCCTGTAAAAGTCTGTCACGCAACAAATGACCATCTGGAAAATGAGATTCAGCTGTGACTGACCCCCAGTAAGGCCGTTGCTGATGGCATCTTTGAGGCTGGACGTCAATAGGCCCAGGAATGTTCCCAGCAGTTCTCGACCCAAATCCCCTCGAATGACTTGAAGGAACTTGTCCATTGATTCACGCTGATGCTCTTGGTACTTTGGGTCAGCATTGCTGAGGTACTGCATCTCGTACAGCAAATGGGTTCTCCGCAGAAAAAGATTTGTTCCCCGTTCCATGGGGCTCACCAGCATGTCTGTAATTATGGACGACTCGTGAAAAGTATCCTTCAAAAGCTCAGCCAGCACAAGTCTTCTGCGAGCCCCATTCTGGGCAGCATAGTCCTTGTTCTCATTCAACATGTCTCCCAAAAGGGTTTGGAAGTCTTCATTGTTCAGCACGTCTGGAAGAGTTTGCACGCCTCCATTTTCAGCAAGAAGAACATCAACAACTTCTGAAAGCACACTTCTATTGGCACTGGTTGCACTGACATTCTCCATCTCTTCTAAAATTCTAGGAAGAATTCCATGCAGATTGGTGGACACTTTGACGTAGGATGCTGCCGGTGCATAGTGCTTCATGCGATGCAAAAGAGGAACAGCATATGCTTTGCATAGGAAGCTGCTCAGCATGGAAACCAATCGATTCCAGCTATCAGAGTCATCCTGACAGCAAGTCTTGCCGTCATTGTTTGCTGGCAAGAGACACCAACGCACCAAAGGCCCTGTACGCTGGGATGTATCCCCGTTCAGAAAGCCAAGAAGATTCTTGAGTGAGTCTGTTGTTCTTTTCGATCTGGAATCAAAGCCTTGCATCAACCAAGCTGCCCGTTTCTTCCAAGCATCCATCTCCTTTGGGTACTTGGCCACTTCCACTCCTGAGTTGAACGTGAATTGAATTCTTCAATATCAAAAAGTGCCCTGCGGACTTGATGGGGTGAAACGTGGCTGTGAATGGAGGCAGTCATGTGAGTGGCCTCTTGATAGGAGTTGTATGGAAACCAAAAAAGCATCTGAAACCTGCACCATCTTCTGGTTGTGTGTAGTGGCGGTGGTATGCAGCAAGTCAGCCAATTGAACCTGAAACCTTTGTCTTTGGACAGTTGTGAGCTGTGAGTCACAAGGAAAAAAATGTTGGAATTCGGAATGTTTAGGCTTAGGCAAGTGTCTTTGAAAGATTCCAGGCTTTTGCAGCAGGCTAACCAATGCAGCAGTGAATCGACGTCGAAATCCAGCACATTCCATCAAATGTGCTAGCCGGACCAAAGTAGACCAGTACCGTTCTATGCCCAGAACAACTGGCTTTCGAACCAGCCCTAGTTGATGGTTGCAACACTTGAAGCGGATCGCAACAGTGTTGCAGACCTTCACTGACCTTTGGCGATTGTGTGCCAAAAGTGTCCTTTCACACCGGAATGCTGAACTGTTGGCTTCCAAGGCATCCCCGCACATCACTTGCGCAGCCCACTTTGCATTTGCGACTGCTCGAGAAACCTCCGGCTTCAAACTGAATGCCTTCCATCTCTCACCCAAACCTGAAGCACAAGCAACCAAGGTCGATCGATAAGCTGCGTGAATATGGTCTGTATTAGCAGTCTTCAGGACACTCAACGGGCATGGAATGGAAAAGCATTGCCAATCATGGTTCTTGTTGGCTCCTTGCTTGAGCAACCCATCACAGTAGACAGCACAAGACTGGACCACGTTCATAACTGTGTGGACAAGGGATCTGTCACCTTGGTTTGGACCTTTCATTCGCGTGTTGGTGTCATCAGGAACTACAGTGTTGATGACAAACTTGACTGGCGGAGCTTGTGGTGAAGCAAAAACAGCTTCAAATGCTTGGGCAATGGCACGCAAAAGGCTCCATGTGCATCTTGCACGGCCCCTTTGGTTAGCTTTGTTCTGATCTGGACATGTAATGGACTCATAACTGTGTGACAACGCGTGAGTATGATGTAGCCTTCCAGTGAAAAATTGCTTCTGCAATGCTTGGGCACCTTTTGTTTCCTCTGAGCTTTTAGAGGACTCGTGGTGAATTCCTATTTCCTTCTGAACAGTTCTGGCCCATCGCCTGGACACACGACTGGTGGCCAGTGCATTCCTGGCCTTCTCTGTTTGACTCCGTCTCGAAGTCACGCCCTGGTCAATCTCGTTGTCTTCCAATGGGGTGTCACTGAAAAACTTTCCAAGTGGCATGGCACAATGGACAATGACAACGCATATCAAACGACTAGACTAGACGAGACTAGATTATATAAAATATAATTTAATGTGATAGTGATAGTGCTGCCTGTCACTTGACTAAAGTTTGTAAGTGTGTTGAGGTTTTGTTCTGGTTAAACTTGTTCAAAATGTCTGAGTGGTGTTGGTTCCCCAAAGTTTATGCCTTGTGCAAATCTACAAACCACACAACGACGATACGACAGTAGTATATTGTATATGGTCATGGTCCTGGTACGAAAGTAAAGTACCACTGTTGAAGCCTGATCCGAAACTTAGCGCACAGCATTGCCATGGCCCATGACTATGATGAGTATGGGAACATGCGGCTCCAGGCCCCCCAGAAAAACCAAAAAAACGTCGCAATCCCGGCCTTAGATTGTCGGAAGAAGCTCGAATTGCTCCCCCGTGGAAATGGGATTCTTATCCCCTTCACCTGCAAATCAGGAAGATCAGTGTCACTGGGTAAAAACACATTGACTTTGGCCCGCCCCATCATCTTATTCAAACTATCAGAAGAACATGGAACAAAGACAAAGATCACAGACTAAATTTGAAGTGAGCTAGCCAGGCCACTATACTTTATAAGTCGACTGATGTGTCAGTGACTGTATTTGTATGCTGTATGTGATATGTGACATGTGAGTGTGTGTTTTGCACCAACTGGTGCGTTGAACAGAACTGAGTCAGACTGGACAAGTGAATGAGTCAAGCAAAGTGAAACCAAAATGAAAACATTTGGCCTCCTCCAGAATCACCACAGCTGGCCGGCGGGAACCTGATGCTGAATCTTGGTTGACTAGTTGACAATGAAACAGCGTCAGGGGTCAGGACTGTCAGCACTTCTGCTCCAGCTGCAAAAAAGATCCATCAAATCAATCCCCAATCACAATCACTATGTCAGTCATTCTGCGTCATTCACGAATCTGAATGAAAAAATAATCATCATATCTCACATCACTACACTCTGATGGAGTCCACATTCCACATTATTGCCAAGTGGCGTACGCGTCGACAACCAGACAAAAAGGGCTGCGCTCCGTTTTCCAAGACAGGATTGAAATCTGCTCGCAACCGGTTGCGGTTCAAGATGGAATAAGGGCAGCATGGAGGCCCAAAGCAGAAGATGTCCTGGCGTTTGGAAAAGGCTTGGAAGCAATGCATTTTGTGAATGTCAAGCTCAACCAGCAAAAAGCCGACCCTGAGAAACAGGATTTCTTGTCAAATTCCTCTTAATCGCAATGCAAAAATGTGCCAGGTCAAGGAAACTCTGACGCTGAATAGGTGGCACCTGCAAACTAACATGTCCACATGTCACATGTCCAAATCATTTGTTGCACAAGCACTCCTCTGATCTCTCGGCAAGAGAGCACCGCTTGTTGTGCAGTAAGCGCAGCCCTCCAGTGACTCCGCAAGCGATGTCCGGGAAGAGGTGGAGAACTTAGGTGGAGGCAACTGAAATGGACGGCGCTATCTTCAAATGCTGACATGACATGACTCCTGTTGACGAAAATGATTGTTTTTGGAATTCCACCCATCGGCGTCCATCGGAAGAAAAACTGGTGCGAACACACACACAGTCACATGTCATGTCACGTGTCCTGTATCAAATGTTTGCACTAATTGGTCAAGTCCAGTCTGGTCTCTCTCCAAATCACACTACACAACATTTTGTTGCGCGTCACACAAAGTTTGGTGATTGGGAGTTCTGAGTTCAAGCGTAAATGTTAAAATGACCCTGAACTCTGGACTCCTTACAATATCAAACACGTTTCTTCACTGGACTTCTCAGTGTGAAATAAATTGCCAAGTGACGATTATCCTTGAAATTGTTTCGGACAAACCGCTGCTTCATTGGGTCAATCTCCATCACTGAAGACTCGAAATCGAGATCCACTCCTTTCTTCCGGAAAAACTGCTGGATATCCCTCCTAGGCGAGGTCAAGCTGAAAAAAACAAACACGAAACTGAATACCTCGCTGGTGTTTGATATGCTGAATTACTGAATTGCAAATGTTGTGGGCCATGGGCCATAGGCACAAATGTGTCCTTTAATCACTCAACTTATATAACATATCAATCAATTATATAATCATATTTATATTATCATAATATATAATATTAATATAACATAACTTACCTTGAACCCACCTGAACTGCCCACTACTGTCATGGGTCCATACCAACACCTGGCCTGCCTGGCTTTCTTCTGACAGCATGGGTCCGGTGTGATGCAAAGGCCAATTTGTTAAATTCAGCATTCCACACTCACCCAGAATTTCAGCACACACCGCTGGCACTGCATGCGTGCAGCATGCATTTATGTACTGTATGAATGGTAACTACCATGTTTAAGTCAAGTAACATAATGTATGTTCCGGTTGCCGCTCCAGCGCAGCCTTCGACCACAGAGATCTTGGGAGGATTCTCCTTGTCGATGCACCAGGACCTCCAGCAGTCACACTGCTGAGTTGTTCGGGGTCACTGTTTCGTTTGGTAACGACAAGTCATGTTTTGGCGTGGCATGGTGGCAATGAATCCAAAAATATGAATATGGTCATGGCGGGGTCTTGAATCAAGAAAATTTTCTGAATCCTGTGATCCCGTGTGTGTGTGATTCTATTCTGATATTTTTGTGTGTGGGATGTGTGTGTGTGTTGCCTGTGCATGAACAAAGAAACCTAGCTGGGACTTGAATCTACTTGTGATTGTTTCTGTATGTTTGCAGTGATGTGACTCGATGTGTTCTTGTACTGGGCCATGTCAGTCAAGTGACAAATCTTCCACTCCCAGAGCTTTGCTCATATGGTCTACCCAGTGCAGAAACTCCAAGTTGTCCACGTCGTCTACATCTGGGTGGCTGTGGGCAGTCCTTGGAGGCTCTGCTGTTGCACTGGGTAATTATATACTCGTCTCGTCTGGTCTAGTCTAGACTAGATGTCAATTCAGTTACTGTGAGTCATCTATATCTATCAGTCTATTGAGTCCATTGTCGATATATGTCGATATGCTATTGTCATCGTTGTCCCAATCTATGGTCCGGCGGTCTATAGTCTATAGTCCAGTAGTTATACTTTATAGTTCGAATTATAGTTCATCTCGTTTTGAAAAAGATAAATTGGGTTAGACTGTTAGACTGGATCCAGTGAATTGGCTATTTCAAACCCTTGTTAGCCTAGGGTGCCACAGTGAGTCTGATCTAAATGGGTTACATTACTTACTTTACTGCCCACTTATGAGCGCTGTAGCCAGCACACAAAACACAAGGTGAACTCATTAGCACCAAAGGTTCTGCTCACTCTGATTCATCTCTGGTTTGCCTACCATGTGCCCGTCATCAATGTCCCCAAAGATCTGGGACAAAACAGAGAGGTTGCCATCATCTTCGGATGTCGCCCCATCACTGTCCACTAGCAAGCGCCCCATCCGTCGCAACATGTATGTTGCTTTGAACAACTTGACCTACAGTCAGCCAACCACAAGAACCAATCACCCTGGAACCAAACAGCCATGGTGCGGGCAAGCTGTGTTGATAACGTTCTGGTGGAACAGGAGGTGGAAGAGGCAAAGGTCTTTTCGGAGGCTTGGGCGGCTTAGGCGCAAGTGGTGGTGGCGGAGGTGGCAATGGTAGTCTTCTAACCGCCACTGTTCTCACTGGTGGCGGTGGTGGTGGTGGTGGAAGTGTCCCAGAAGCAACAACTGGTTTCTGTCGCTTTCGCCGAACCCTAATCTTTCTTCTGACTTTAACTTTTCTTTGCTTCTTGGCCATGGCTCAACCTGGGCGGGCCTTTTGCTTTCTGTATGCAAATGGCTGCTTGGAAACATTGAATACACGCGCAAAAGTTGCAGGGTTACCTCTAACAAAGCTAGATTAGTAAATCGTCAGTAGTAGTCAGTAGTTGTCAATAGTAGAATAGTACATATGTACACAGCAGTTGCAGTTGTTTTTAAATAGTTCTGAACTTATTTTAAATAGTTCGAAGGTTTTTATATATAGTTCGAAGCCTCCCCCCCTTGCAACAATAGACCCTCTTTAAAGAGGCCAACGCACCCAGTAAGGGATGCCCCCTATCGTTTTTAAGGAAAGCACAAAATCACACTCTTGGATGCAACGCCCTTGTATAAGTATTTTTGAAAAGCACTCGTATGTCTTTGCTCACCCCTCCCCGGTAACCTGCAAACGGTTAACCGCGACATCAAATGAGAAACATCATCTGTCATCTCTATCTCCAGGTGCTCACATCGATCACAGTGAGGCTGTTTAGCGATAAGGTTCTTTTTCTGGCTATTGACAATATATGACATTAATGGACACGAAGACCGACTGTCGACATGAAAAGAAGTCATGTGTACATATCGTTGTTTGAGAGCCCGAGCCCTTGCTAGTGATTCAGCGGAGACACGGCGAGACACGGCGTGAAACCAGTTTTCAACTGTTGAGCAAGCTGTGAGTCAAGGTCGAACGTAATCGGTAACTAGCTCTCGGGACTTTACAAACTGATCTAGCTCTTGCGAGCATGGATCTGAGTGCGTTCCGCAACCGGGTCCCACTGAGGTCTAGTGTGTGATCCCCACGGGGCGCGTTGAGCATAGAGCATAGACCCTTAACAGGGAAGCGTCAGTGATCACTTGTCTTGCGTGACTCCTCCCTGATTAGTGAGATTGCTGAAAGCTGAGTGCCGCCAACGGGTGCGGATATTTGTTTGAACTTTCTTATTTTGTTGTTTGTGCTTCGTTGCGCCGTAGTTTGGACCTTGAAGTGCAGATTTCATGGCAGGCGCAGTACTGTGCGGTCTTTGAAGCGCAGCTTTCGTAGCAGGCGCAGTACTTTGCGGGCCTTGAAGTGCAAATTTCGTGGCAAGCGCAGTACTTTGTGGACCTCGAAGTGTAGTTTTCGTCGTAGGCGCAGTACTTTGTGGACCTTGAAGTGCTGATTTAGTGGTAGGTGCAGTACTTTGTGGACCTTGAAGTGCAAATTTCGTGGCAGGTGCAGCACTTTGTGAAGTGGAGATAGAGATAGATAGATAGATTAGATTAGATTAGGTTGGATTGGATTGGATTAGATAAGATAAGAATAGATAGATAGATAGATAGATAGGTAGATAGATCGATAGACAGATATGTAGACAAATGGATAGAACAGCGTGGAAAGACGCTACGCTAAAAGCTGGGTGGGGTTGAAGTGTAGGGTTTTGCAGGTCATGTGTCATTAGAGCGAAGAAACATGCACAGCTTTCTTGATGTCTTGTGAAAGCTCATGCATTACACCTGGGCTATGTACCGCAGCCCTTTGCTTGCGCGAGAAACAAGAGCTTTTTGCTGTGTAGGTTATGAGCCCAAGGGTGCGCTAGGCACTTTTGGGTATCGCAGAGGGCCTCGTGAGCGAGGAAGCATCGGAGAGAACTCCGGAATGTGGTGGCCTCAAAGCCATTGAGGATGCAGGCCCCAGTGACGGGTTGATGCGACCTAGTGGGCCTCCTGTGGTGCTAGGACCAGCTGCGGTGAATCCATTCTGGTCCGAAAGGTTCCAAGATGAAGCTGTTTTGCGGGCTCTACGTCCAGCTGACTTGCCAGTAGAGCCACCTGAGTTGCTCCCTGATTCTGCCTTGTCGCCGCCGAAGGAAGGGGTGGAGGCATTTCGTACGTTCTTGCGCCTGATGTCGGAAAATGCAAGACTCTGGACCGAGCGTGAATCTTGGGCAGCTGGACAAGGAAACCGTGGGTGGGGCAATCCATCACTGGCTTTCAATCATCCACCTCCGTGGGTGTATGGCATGATGTCAGAAGGTCAACAAAGAGAGAAGAACATGATGGATCCACTGCTTGAAGCATTGCGGTCTTCGTGGGTGTCTTCAGGGCATGGTGGGCAAAAAGGCTCTGGCGGAGATTGTGGAGGGCGGGGTGCTGTTCATGGTCTTTCAGGCGATCAGGGAGGTCTTCATGGGCACTTTGGGGGACCGCGCGCAAGTCTCATGGAAGTGTTCAATCGTGTCTCGGCGACTTCAGGAGATGTCATGCAGGGCATGGTGGAAGCTTCGAAGACTTTGGCAAGGCATGGTTTCGGGGGTCAATGGCCTGAACAGCCATCGCTATCGGAGCTCCAGGGTGGCACAGTTGGAGGGCAACCTGGTGCAGGACAAGGTCTTTCCAGTCAACCTGATCAGCCAGATCAGTCTCGGGGGCCAAGTTCTTCGGTTCCTCAACATTCGAGCTGCAATGGACGTGGAGGTCAACATCCTGCGGTGGTGGTCGTCATGGAGGTGGCCATCGATCGTGGTCTCTCGTCAGTGGGTGCACTGGGGAGTGGTCTGGGTGGCAGCTGTTCAGGGGGTTTGCTGGTGGTGGAGGAGGACCACCTCCTGGGGGTTTTCCAGCTGGAGGAGGGAGGACTGGGTGGAGGCTCCGGGTGGAGGACCGGGAGGAGGCTTTTCTGGAGGTGCTCCAGCCGGTGGCTTTCCTGGCGCTCCAGGTGGTGGCCCAGGTGCTCCAGGTGGAGGAAATCCCCACGGGCCATCCCACCGTGGTTGGGAGGGCTCATGGCCCAACAGGAAACAGTCAGGGCAGTTGAACTAGGAGCTTTCGGAATCAGAGATCGGTCCATTGATCGCTGGAGATTGGTTGACAACCATCGGCCCTTTCCTCAGGATATTTGCGCCCGTTCTTCACTTTGGTGGGATGAGGTCTTGAATGCGGCGGGTGCCCTCTACCGGGTTTGGCTGAATTCTGAACCTATGGAACGGCTTCGTTTGGTTCCGGTCACACCTCCAGCCTTTCAGAGGCCACCACGGTTGAGAATAGAGCAACGAGGTTCAGTCGCTCTGCTGAAGGCGATTCCTGAGTCCCTGAGATCGGAGTTGGTGTCACAGAGAGAAGTGGGCTCGGTCAGCAGCATTGTCTTCAAGGTGCTGAGAGTATACCAGCCTGGAGGTCTTGGAAAGCGAACAACGTTGGCTGAAGCAGTTGGTGGATCAGAAGGTGCTGGATGAGTGGCTTTCATCACTTCGGGCATGGAGGAGGTGGCAAAGCAATCGACACAAGTGACCTTTCGCTTGCAGGTCACCAGAGCAGCACTGCGGGTTGATGCGGCGCCGACTGAGAATGGCATTCAGTAGTTCGCTGAGTCCCTGATGGCAGAAGGAGAAGCGGCTTTCCATGGAGGATCAATGGCCCCCATCAAGGACACCGTAAAGGTCAAGGCCTTGGATGGAGACAATGGTGGAACCAAAGATGAGGGCAAGCCGCGAGATGGCCGGGACAAGATCAAGGAGAATGGGGAAGGTTGAAATCCCCGGAAGCAGGTACACTCTATTAGCACTGTTTGAATTGAATTTGCACCCAGATCATATCTGGGAAATTAGCCAAAATACACCTTTGGATGATCACCTCTACGTTCCAGAAGGGGCATTTGCCACAACACACCTGGCTTTGACAAGCTAGCAGCGCGAAACTGTTCAGCAGTTCACTGCAAACGCCAAAGAGAAACATTTCTTCAAAATGTCTTGGGCTGGAAAACTGTTGTTGCTGGGAAAGTGCAACTGCATTGTTGTGCTAAGTTGCCCAACAAAGGCAAATAGTGGAAAGAACGGCTAAGTTTTCAAACACTACTCTACAAACTAATGTAGATTGCGCTTATGACCTATGACTAGGGCCAGGATGACTAGGGTTGAGGCTAGCGGCTAGTCACCAGTGACTGGGAGCCTAGTGCCTAGTGACTAGGAGCCTAGTGGCTAGGCCCTGTCACCTTCTAAGCCTCTAAGCCTTACCAAGGCTCTATGGCCCCAAGGTCGGCTGGGGCTGGGTTTGCTGTGCTCCAGACAGGCAGACAGAATCGGATCTGGCTAAGGCGGTTACGGTTAAGCAGCTAGCGGCAGCAGGCTAGCGGTCGGCAGCGGCTAGCGGGTGGCGGCTAGCGGCTACGGCTACCGGCTACGGCCAAGCTAAGCGCGGTCAAGGCGGCTAACGGCTAAGGATGGGCGGCTAGGCAACGGCTAGGCTAAGGCAGGCTGTGGGTTGGCCAGAGGCGGGGCCATGATGCAAGAAATGCGGGCCCCGAATCGGCGCCCATCTGGGCCTCTGGGCGGGGGCCAGCATTGTCAACAATGGTCTTCGCAATTTTGGTCTTTCCGAGGGACTTGCCCCCAATGACAAGGTACAAACCAGACCTTCCCATAGCCTGACCAAGTTGCGTGACATCTTGAACTGTATCACAATTTAGTTAAGCTGAAGTCAAAGAAAGTGACAAGGGTTCAGGGATGTCAACACCAAACAACCACCACAACCTACAGAGTGGGAGGTGTTCAGAGAGGTATCCTATGGTGTGGAGAACCCTAGCGCGGGATGGAACACGACGGGGAGTCCCAGAGGGATTGGTCTCCGTTGTGTTGGAGAGGTGTGTGGTGTGGCCGAAAGGGGGGCTCGGTACGGCAACCCGAAAGGAACACACAACACGAATGCGAATGCGCGAAATGCAACGAGCGAGTGCGGATGCAGGCGACCGACGAGCGAGCGACGTGCACCCTGAAACGCGCAGCGGACGCACGTTTCTTGAGCCAAATGTGTCGGTACGACACGGAGTCTTGTCCTGTACATGTTGTCCATAAGGCATGACAAGTTAGGGGTTACATCTGTGTGTAAAACTTTGACTCCCCCCCTCGCCGTTTTGGCGTGCCCCAGGACATTATGTACATGCATTAATTACCGCGCAGGATGCAGCGGCTTTGTCCTCTACCCTAGACCCTCACGAAAAGCTTCGGTCCCTGGAGGACGGCTGTGGCTCGCGGATATCGGTTCGAATGCCCAAAAGGCATAAGGCCTTATACCACTTTTGTGGTGGTAGAGCCTTTGTGAAGATGTCCGCGGCTTGCTCGTTGGTGTCTATGTATTGGACTGTGATACATGGGTCATCGAGGCACTCTTTTAAGGAGGATAGGTCCTGTGATTCCGAAAAAAACACTGAACACCAAAACGCACACAAGGTCTTTAGCAACCTGAGAAGAACAAGAGGAGATATTCAACTCTCAAGGCATTTGATGTTGGGGTGGGAGATCGTTCGAACTTGTCAGGCAAAAACGCTTGATGAGGGAACAACCGGAATGAAAAAGAATACCATGGCTTCTTGCGTTCTGAATGGAACAAATCTATTCCCTACTTCTTTTGAACGCAAGCTGAAGTTGGCATGAATGGCAGGACATGGAAGGCCTATGGCATTCTTCCCAAGCATGGCCGAAAAATAATACAGTACTGGTTCTGAACAAACTGCCTTTAACACAAAGCAAGTGGGAGAAGTAATGAAACACCACCCTACCTTTATTGACATGGCAGTCCTTCTGGAGTTGCCTGACCCAGACTGCTGAATTCGCTGTGCTTCTGCCACCTTGAACGGGTGAGGTCTAAGGTGGAACATACTACTGCGCACCTTCAATAGTCTCAATCCCCCCCTACAATTACAAACTCAGACGGTACTTCAAGAATACAAATCTCAACAAATGGGCAAACCAAAGCAATGTGAATGCTTCAGTCGTCTGCCTTGTCCCTGTTGTGGTGCTTCTGGTCTTCGACCTGTCTTCAAATACTCCTTGATGTCCACCGGTTTCCACCCGCCAACTTCATCAGGCACTTGGGTCATGTTCAGAACCCTCTCCGCATTTTCAGTCAACGTCTTCACAGCCTTCAAGTACTCCTCTGCCTCTCCTTTTGACCATCTGTAAGAAGGTGCCTTTTGCTGCTCTAGGACACGGGTGCGTGCTCCGTTGAGATTGGCTACCTTGTTAGCAGCTTCCTCACTTTGTGTGACGGCAATCAGGTGGTGGTCACATTCATGAGCAGCTCTGGTGAGAGCCATGAGGTTTGTCTCTTGTCCGCTCAGTCCGGTATCAAAGGTGTTGTCAAAGACCATCTGTAAACGAATGCCGTGCTGTTTCAGGATACGAAACAGCTCCCCAGCCACATCCACAGCAGCTGCAACATCTTCAACGCGGAAGAAGCCCTTGAGGTTCTGTTGGAAATCTCGCTGTAGGAACACCGTAACTGCAGACTTCTGTGTCAATTCCGAAGTGCCAGTGCTGCGGCGACAGACTTGCCGACCCCCGGCTCGGCATGCACAGCAGAGAGACCACCTGTTCGGTTTTCGTTCAACACTGTTATCATCAACCGCTGGAAGCCAGTACCTTCGACTGGCTGTTCAGGTAGTTCTACTACTTGCGGGATGATGGTTTGCTGTGACCGCATCACGTTCAGCAATCTCTCGGCATGATCTTTGACTTTTGTGGCTGGCGACAGCCTTGCCAGCAGTGGGACTTCGGCAAATTGTGTCTCAAACCATGCCATCCGCTTACCCACGAAATCAAAAATGCTCATTGCAGATGACACAGAACCCAACGCTGCGGCTGCGGCTGGGTCAACCGCATGGACCCCCACGCTCGTTGGCTGTGCTTTCTCGCTGTCATTTTGGCGGTCCAAGAGCCAACAAAACCGCAGAGCTCTAGGCTCACATGGGTCAAGAACGCCAGAAGCACCATCCTCCGACATCTGCGCGCCATGATGCTCGATGGACAAGGTGTTTTGCTAGTTTGAGGTCATCTTGCGTCTTTCAGAGGTTCACCGTTCCCACTATGCTGCTGTAGCGGGGTTGACTTGCAAGGTGGTTCAGTTCACATACTTCGAAGGTAGCACAAGAAACATGCAAAGAGGAATGAAAGAAAACTTTCGTCAAACTTGTTCCCTACACATGAAGGCCTTACTAGTAGTAACAAGTGCCACGCTAGTAGTAACAGGCGCCACGCTAGTAGTAACAATGTTCCTTTTTTCCATTTTTTCAACCGTTACTACTAGCGTGGCACCTGTTACTACTAGCGTGGCACTTGTTTCTAATAGCAAACATTGTTACTACTAGTGAGGCACCTGTTACTAGTAGTAAGGCACCTGTTACTACTAGCGTGGCACCTGTTAAGCAACACACGAAAGGAACTAGGGATGACAAGGCTGCTTGTTCAACACTTGCTGTACCACTCAAAAGGTGAGATGTTGAGGTGGGAACAGTCAAATGGACATGGCACAGGCACGGCAAAACATCATACAAAGTCTTTAGTCTAAATCCTATCAAATTGAGGACGATGTTTGGAATACATCTTCTAACAAATCTTGAGGAATGAACAACCCTGCGATCTTCTCCCCAAAAAGTGCTGAGCCGTGTCAAGAACATGAAATTACAGGGTATAATTTTCAATAGCGGGCTTACACATGATCACATGTTTGACTTGGGGCATGGCTTGAAAGGAACAAGGGCATGGCAGAAAACCGCGCAAACGTCTTTAGTCTAAATCCTCTCTACCAATTTAAGGCAGATGTTGGGAAGATATCATCCACAAATCTTGAGGAATGAACAACCCTGTTATCTTCTCCCTAAAAGACTGAACCGCAGCAAGAACATACAATGTCAAGGTAATGTCTTGCGTAGCGGGCTTTCCCACAACCAGCATCGTGTGAACACCCTCAACCTATATTGTTGTGAACAAAAGCTCAATCAAACCAATTCCATCCTTCTTTTTCACTTGGAGGAATGTTGAACTTGAGGTGGGGAGCGTTCAGAATCCATTGTCCTAAACCGAAAGGAGCGTTCACCAAAGGCATTCTAAAGATGAGTTGTGTACCTTGTTGTCTGCAACTGTTGTCAGTCCTTTTGCAATTGCCTCGCCCAAACAGCTTTGGTCTGAGTTGGAGAGGTGGCACCTTGCAGGGCACGAAGATGACAAGTTGGGTCTTTGCAAGGTCTTACTTTGGTCAGCTATAGAAGAACACAGCAGCCGCCCCTTTTTCCCACAATCTTGAGCCAAACATGTCCGGTAAAGTGAAACGTCAATGACTGGATCATGTGAAGGCTACATTCATCAAGATTCCTATGACTTGCATGTCATGTGAAACTAAATTCTTTACAGTGCTCGGTGACACATCGAATGCGAATCTTGCCTGCAGAGATGCTCTTTGGTTGTTCAAGGACTGCTTCAAGGACTGCTTCCCCTGGCGTGCCAGATGCATTGACCAGGGTGCATTGCTAGTGGATTATGGGTGGTGGTTTCACCCCACGTCTCTCTCCTCCCCCTTCACACATTAACATCTTTAGTGGAAGATGGGTGCCTCGAGAGATTTGGATCCACGACGCCCAAAAGCTCCAAGGCGTGACTCCATTTGGAAATCGGCAACGGTTTCGTGAAGGGATTAGCCTTTTGATGGTCCGTTTTTATATAAAGCAATTTGGCACTGCCATTCGAGAACGTCTCGTATAGAGAAGAGAGGTTGATTCGATGGTGCTTCGAAACATGTCGGAGTTTAGGGCTGTAGCCCTGGCCGCATATGGTTATGACGGCGCTGTTATCCTGGAAACACACCAATTCAATTTCCCTTCTGAACACTTCCTCAACGAATTCGGCAACTGGCAAAGCGTCAAATACGCCGTGGGCAAGTGATATGATCTCGGCTTCTGTGGTCGACCGTGCAGTCGCACCCTGTCTCTTACTGTGCCACGCCAGTGGCCAGTAGGACGCCGGTCCTTGCAGACACAGCAAACCACCAGAGGTGCTCTTTGCATCCTCTACCGCGCTTGAGTGGTCCGCATCGGTATACAAGACCAGTTGTAGGTCTTCCTGACGATCTGCGATTTTGCCTTTCAGGCAGAATGCCTTGGTCTCGAACAGATAGTTCATCAATCTGTGCAAGCGGCGGTCATCGGCACGACTCCACTTCGTGACACGGCGGGTGAGATCCCCTATTGCCTTTACCGTGTCTGGCCTGGCAAGTCTGCCCGCCCAAAGGACTTTCATCAAGACCTTACTAGCATCACTTGCTAGAGCACCGCGCTCCTCCCATTCATTCACTGGAATGGAACCTTCTGGCAAGTAAGGAGACGCAGCGCCTTTCAATGGCATCCCTGACAGGTTTTCATACATTTGGCATGCTGAGTTGATGAAATCTACCATGTCGAAATAAACCTCAGTCACTCCGTTTTCACGTTTGAACAAATGCTTTCTGCCAAGACAACGATCCACTGGGGTCGGTTCTTCTATTTCAAGGTGTTTTTGCAGGTTTTCCCAGAACCCTTTGTGCAAACCTGATGGCCCTGAAAGCAAGATGTCATCAACGTACAATGTGAGGACTAGACCAGTTTCAAAGGTCCAATTCGACTGGTTGTCTCTGTCAGCCTTCCCTCCCATGAGTCCCATCACTTCACGGAATCTTGCGCCCCAGTGGAAACCCGATTCCGGGTGTCCGTATAGCGCCTTCTTTAGGGGCGCCACTGGCATTTTGATGTGAGCGAACTCTTTTGGCACTAACTCTGGTGGAAGTAGCACCCAAGTGTCCACCACTGTTCGCAAGACACTTTGAGTGTATGCACGCGCCACGTCCGACAGTGTACTGTCATTTCCTGGAAGTGCACCATAGCTCAAGTTGAAGTTTATGGCTGTGATTCCCGAGGGATTCACTTTGAGTTGCTGCAGGATGGCGATGGTGTTGTCTTGGTCAACTATCTGGTCCCCGCGGAACACAATTCTGGCTTTCAACTTTCGCAATTCTGGACTTTCAGCGTGCTTCATGGACAGGATTGTCATGAGACGACCTAGGTTGAATTTACCACCCGACTTCATCAGTTCTTCTTTGGAAATGATTTTACTAACATCCCAAACTTCATTTGCTAGAAGACCATCCAACTCTTTCTTGATAGCTTGATCAGCCCCCGGATATTTTCCCCAATCTCGACGGTCAATCAACTGATGAACACCGAAAGGAATCTGATGCGGAACATGTTCTGACTGAACAAACGGACAAGTCAGCATGATTGGGACGGAATCACCATCAGCATACAAGCTGTTCGAGATTGTTTGAGCCATCCTTTCAGTGTAGAAGGCTGACTTCCCTGTGCTTGAACCCTCCAAAGGACTGTGTTTGAAGTCTTTTGGGCGTTGGCATCGGTATGCACCAAGGTCTTTTGCCAACTTTCTTGATGAGGTTACGACTCTCCATGTCTTCAGATGTGGCTCTCCTTTACTGTCTTTCAAACCAAAGGCACAGCCGTCACAGCATGTCTCATACAAATCATGTTTCTTGACAAACTGCAAAAGCTCGGTCAACATCCAACCTTCGCAATGTTTGGGCCATTCGAAAGCAACATGTCCTCCGTTCTGGAGAATTCTCTCGGCAACCTTTATGTAGTTAGCTAAGAGTTTCTTGCTTGTCTTTCTCTTGGCTTTCAACTTCTTTGCGTAGGATGAACCATATCGATGTAGACACATTTTCTGCCAAGGACTCCATGAACTACATGGAATACTTCCCCAAAGGTCAGCCCCCTTGAACATGTCTACTAACGACAAGAGGCTCTTGATGTCTTCTTCATTTTCCAAGTTGGTTTGTTCTCGATGCAACCGAAAATGAGGAACCCCCCTTGATTCATTAACTTCTCCTAGTTTCGAGTCTTTGCTGCAGCAGAATTCAAACATCGCGTGACTTTTGTCAGACCTAATCCTCCTTTCACGGGGTGGTTTCAATGTCTGAACCTTTTTAACTTCTGCAGGGACCGGAGTCAAACCAAGGATCGACGTGACAGCGTCAAGCCCTCGAAGAGGTTCCTTCTCAACATTGCATGTCATGGCTATGATTCTAGCTCTTACATTCTCGGGCTTCTCCTTCGGGAAGAAGTATGTGCATCCTACCCAACTTCTTGAACAAATGCGCCTATTCGGTGACATGGATTGCCAATCATCTGCAAACAGTGAAGTCTTGTTTCTACAAGTCCAAACAGTTTGACGTTCTGTCGTCACTTCGAACGAATCGAAAGGACAGTCATTTCCAAGCGGTGTGAACAAACGCTTCCTCGGACGGACATAGATTCTCTTCCATGCAGCTTTGGCCTCATCAAAGTCCCAATAGTCATTCAATGCCTCAGCATTACAGCAATCCACGAGAGAAGCCTGCAGCTTGCTCTCATGGCCTTCAGGCAGGACAATGGGATTTTCCTTGACTTTTTGGCGGCTACATTTGTCCTTCAAGGTGTGCATCGAAATGTCCACAGCGGCTTCCGATTTCTCTTTGTCTTTCTTCGAATCTGACTCTTTGGCTAGTCTCTCGTCCTCCAAGAGCTTGCCAATCCTTGCGTGGTATTCATCGCTGTGCCTCACGCCTTCTGCGATTCTGTCGCAACCTTTGCAACCTACAGTCTTTCCGAACCAAATGCATCTCTCCAATGTTACATACGGCCTGCGTTTGCGTTTGGCTGGCTCGGGAGGGTCCTCTCCAAAGGGCAACGACTCTCTGGGATCAATGCTCAGCAACTCCCGATCTGCTTTAAACAATGCCAGCTGTGAATTTGCAGCCTCTTCCAAAGGAAAGATGAACACTTCTGGTTTCACAAGCTCACTAGTATACACTTGGATTGGTTTCTCGCAACCTTTCTTGTTGGTGCGAACAGCTTCATAGTCCAAAACCAAATGCACAACCCTGAACTTATACCCGTTGTCGATTCGCCATCCACAGAAGATTCC